AGAAGCATATGCAATTGGGAAGAAAGAAAAGCCACCTTTCTTACCAGAGGAGCCCTCTCCATCTTCTGAAGAGGACGACCCTATCCCAGATGAGTTGCTGTGTCTCATCTGCAAAGACATCATGACTGATGCCGCTGTCATTCCCTGCTGTGGAAACAGCTACTGTGATGAGTGTGTAAGAACAGCACTCTTGGAATCAGAGGACCATACATGCCCAACGTGTCATCAAAATGATTTCTCTCCTGATGCTTTAGTTGCCAATAAATTCTTGCGACAGGTTGTTAATAACTTCTAAAATGAAACTGGTTATACAAAAAGACTACGGAAACAGTTACCCCCACCACCACCCCCAATACCGCCTCCGAGATCACTCCTTCAGCGGAATCTACAACCTCTGATGAGATCTCCAATATCAAGACAACAAGATCCTCTGATGATTCCAGTGATGTCTTCATCAGGCCACCCGGCTCCCTCTATATCTTCATTAACTTCTAGTCAGTCTTCCTTAGCCCCTGCTGTGCCTGGAAATTCATCTACCCCAGCGCCTGTACCTGATATAACTGCAACGGTCTCCATATCAGTCCACTCAGAAAAATCAGATGGGCCTTTCCGGGATTCCGATAATAAAATATTGCCAGCTGCAGCCCTTGCCCAATCACCTCCATACCCCAGAAGAGGCAGAGGCAAGAGTCGAAATTACCGCTCAAGGTCTAGATCTCATGGATATCATCGATCTAGGTCGAGGTCACCACTATATAGATGATATCATTCACGATCAAGGCCCCCTCAAGCATTTAGGGGACCAAATAAATGTCCTGTACCACAAGGGGAAACAGAACGTGAATATTTTAATAGATACAGAGAAGTTCCACCACCATATGACATAAAAGCTTATTATGGGAGGAGTGTTGACTTTAGAGACCCATTTGAAAAAGAACGTTACCGAGAATGGGAGAGAAAATACAGAGAGTGGTATGAAAAATACTACAAAGGTTACGCTGCTGGAGCACAGCCTCGACCATCAGCAAATAGAGAGAACTTTTCTCCAGAGAGGTTTTTACCACTTAATATCAGGAATTCTCCCTTTACAAGGGGCCGCAGAAAAGATTATTCAGGTGTATTAGCTGCCTCCCCACACCCAAACACAATTCACAATAGAAGGACTTGTTTTTAGCCACTATTATATACGCCCCAGGACTGTTCTAGTGCCTGTCATCTAGTAGTTGCTCAATAAATATTTGTTGAATTAATACAAAAAACAAACAGTTTTTGGAAAGTACTTCTTTTGTTGCCTGCATCTCTGTCATCTCAGACTTTATCCAAAGCTGTGATGAAATGTGTGGACAATTTTAAAATGATAAAACATCAGAAAGAGAATCAAAGTGGATCAAACAAAAACAACTTGGATGATATTTTTCCAGCTCCTCTGCAAACACCCCATCATTTTGCTGAGCCAAGTGACGCACATAAAATTCTGACCACATCACAAATCTCTTTCCAGTTCCTGCTTGCTCCAGAGAGTTTCTGTTCAAATTGAACAATTACACCCTCTAAAAATATGCCCAATCATCTGGATGCAAATGCAATATTTTATTGGTAGAAGAGATACCACGCAATTACTCAGGTATCATTCAAATTTTGCTATGATTATGGCTTTTTGAAAGGAACCATGCTGTTTGGGTGGCAATTTCGCATCATGTGTCAAAAGCCTTGAAAAATGCATTTCCTTTGCCTGGAAGATTGCGCTTCTAGGCATGCATCCCAAGGAAATATTCAGTCATGTATGAAAAGATACATATACGAATCTATATCACAGTCTTGTTTCTCTCAAAATAAGTCAGAAACAACATCAATATCTGCCAAAGTATTGTGTACCTAAATGATGAAACATTACAACTATATAATTAAGTACTCTGCAAATATAATGATAATGTTGTGATAATATACCTATTGACATAGAAAGAGGGCCATGTTTATAAAATTATATATTTATGTTTCTCTGACTTGGGGGAATATAAGTATTCTTTATCCCTGTTTTGCATATATGATTTCCATAATCAATTTTCACTTTTAAAAACTGTAATTATAATATCATGAAAATGGAAAGAAGATAAAATCAAGTGTGTTCCTTTAATTTATATCACACATTCACAATAGGACAATATCTTCCTCAAGCGGGTGAAAATTTGTTCTTGGAGGAGGTGCGGAATATTTTACTTTTTTTGTGTATGAAGCACAGATATACATACAGCACATCAGCAGATATACAGTAATACAGTATATTCAGTGTTCAGTGGTTAGAGCGTCAGCCCTGGCACCAAAAGGTCGTGGGTTCAATTCTGGTAAAAGTCACATACCTGGTTGCAGGTTTGATCCCCAGCCCTGGTCAGGGTGTGTGTGGTAGGCAACCAATCAATATGCCTCTCCCTCTCCCCCTCCTTTCCACTCTTTCTAAAAATCAATGGAAAAAAAATATCCTCGGGTGAAGATTAAAAATAAAATGTCATAGGAGAGTGATTCAGAAAAATATATCTAAAAAGATTCCTTTTGGAGGTAATAATAAAGAAATGGTTGAGCAAACTTGCTCATTCCAATTTAAACATTTTTATCTTATGCTTACGTATCTTGCAGAGATATTATAATTTCTTTCATTTATTTTGCACATAATTACTCCTGCTTACTTCTGGTAAATTCAGGTTTAAATCTAACCATTCATGCTGAAAGCCCTTACAAACATTTATGAAGAGTTTCTGAAGGGAAGTCAAGGAATAGGGTTACTAGTTCACTAATGGCAAAGAACTTCAGTTTAGGAGTTAACTCCAACATCCAGTAAGCCACTTTAGGCATCTCAGAAGCAATCCTTAGAAATATTTCTGCTTTTTCTAATTGAGGTCAGACAATGAGAAGCTTTCACTAATCCCTAGACATAGCACTTTTTTTTTCTTTTTTGGCATTTGTACAATGCCTTCATTTAAGACCTTCCTTAAAAGCATCTTCTCAGTGATAAATGAGCGATGGAGTTGGCAAGCCTTTTTCTCTACTGACAGTAATATTTCAGAAGTCAGGATTATGATTAGAGAAGCACAATATCACAGACAAGACCCAAATCAGTCCCCAGAGTATGAGCTGCTGAAAATAGAATTATCACCAGTTTCCTTCCAGGAACAATTTGGAATCCATCAAAAAGGACGGAAAGGGATGATGCTTGAACATAGACAATAAGGCAGGGGAGAGAAACAGCCTTCAATTTCTAATATAATAAAAAAAAAAGTTTCTACAGGTTGTCATAGAGCAACTTCAAAAGGTGACTCAAATTCTAGCTGCAGAAACAGAACAGGCTAGAGCAGTTCTGGAACATGTCACATGGAGTGCCCAGGCCCCAGATGGACCGAGTTCTTGGTCAGAAGCTGAGTGCTGTCACAGTTCTAAGAAAAATCTTTTGTTCTCCTTACCCATTCCCAGGAATCAGGTTGGTCTCATTAAGGAGTGGCTCTGTCTGGTGAGACTTCCCCCATTCTTGGAAGTCACAGTCACCAATTTAAAGAAGAGCCATGGAAGGGAGAATCATGGTAGATCCTAGGATGCTCAAGATGTCCTAAAACCTGGAACCTGTGACTACACGACCTTCCATGACAAAGGGAACTTTGCAGATGCGATTGGCACCTTGATTTTAGCTCAGGGAGACTGGTGTTAGTCAAAATGATCACGTGGTACGTTTGTGTTGTTTTAACCACTAAGTCTTTGGGACTTTGTTACAGCAGCAATTGGAAGCTAATATAAAGACAAGGGTGGAAATCTCAAATCCACATTTTATTTTTTTATCCATATCAATAGTTCTTACTCATAATCCAAAACACCTTGACTATTGGTGTGGTGAGGTTAGTCCTCTCTCCTTGGATTACCCCTCGTGGAGATTAACAGCAGGAAATCAAACCAATTCTCAAAGCAATGCAAAGGCACAGACGTAAAATGAAGGTAAGAAAGTCATCTTTTCAAAGACTCCTGTTCTCTGGATCTTTTCAATTAGCACTGTATTGCACCAGGCAATATTATTACTCCATATTTGCTCAATTTGGTCTTTGTTAGAAAAATAAAGGCCCTTCAAACAAAATATAATTCCAACTAATCTTAAAATAGCAGAGCAAATTATAGACCCTAGCAATCAGCTTAGCTGATTCTACTTGGCCCTTTTTGTATTCACCCAACAACTTAAATATGATAAGTGGATTCCACTGGGGTGTTGGAGGGGAAAGGAAAAGATTTACAGGTCCTTTTGTTATGGGGACTCTGATTAGAAATACATCTTTGACTCTATAGCTGCATGGGCTGTTTTGTTTTCATCACTTTGTTCTCTGCTCAAATATTGAGAAGGCCATCTCTGTCCACCTATTTCATGCTGCTCATTACCCTCACCTAGGCATATTTCCCTGTTTTCATTTATTCACAGTACTAGCACTATCTGAAATCATATTTACATTTTGGCTTATGTATCTATGTTCTCCACTGAAATATAAACTCCATGACATTGGAGAGTTTCTTTATCTGATTCATGGACCATCCCCATTTTATAAAAAAAATTCTTGATATATACTAGGCAACCATTAAATATTGTTGAAAGGACAGATGGATAGATACATGACTGGATAGATGGAGCAGAGAAGAATAAAAGGTAGCCTTTGCCCAAAAGGTAAAGAAACCTTCAAAGAAATGGTGAAAATTCATAAATCCTCAATGGGTGGCTATTAATTAGAGAGATGGAGGGAAGCAAAGATTCCAAGTGATGTTACTCATGAAGATCATAACAATAACCAAAATCCAGAGAGGAGAATGGCATTGGTGAATGAAGAGCACAGGAAATTGACTTGAAAGAGTGGAGCACCAAGGCAGTATCATACAGAAGATAAATTGGGATTGTTGCACATTAAGGGATCAAGCAGCTTTGTCTAGTAAGTGGGAATAAATTAAAGAGAGGGAAATAAAAAGATGGCTCTGGAGATTGGTATTTCAAAATAGCCTCTCCTTACCTTGAACTCTGAGTACTGAGCATCCCTCACTTTAGTGGCTCCTGTATTTTAGATGAGACCATTTGAAATATCATATTGAACTTCCACTCTATGTTTGAATATGTTCAAAATTGTCATCAGATATTCACTCTCCCACACATGTCATGGGGAAGGGGGTAGTATTGTTGAGCTTAGCCATGTGACTTGTGTCAGCTGGTGAAATTAGTGTCAACCCCATCTCTTTTTTATCTAAGAAGAGAATTTAGATATGTATGGTTTGACTTGGCCTCTTTCAATCATGCTCATGAGAAAAGCCTGCTCCAAATGCTGCTGGTGATGACTATTATATGTCACAGATCAGAGATGAGACATTGGAGCAGACTTGGAACTGACTCATTGTCTGAAGTTGAACACAGCCAATGACAAGGTGCTCCACCATTATATCCTTCAAGTTATTATTATGCATTATTATAACAGTAAACCTTATTCATA